GTTTAAATTGAGATTATGAAGGGAGAACAAATCCGGCTAGTCCCCGGCGAGGACAGCATCCGGCTCCCAGACTCAGACAGAGCGGAGATAACAGCGGAGACAACAGTTTAAATTAAGATTATGAAGGGAGACAAATCCGGCTAGTCCCCGGCGAGGCGCCTCACAGCATCCCGCTCGCAGACTCAACAGAGCGGAGACAACAGTTTAAATTGAGATTATGAAGACAACAGCGGAGACAACAGCTTAAATTGAGATTATGAAGGGAGACAATTCCTTTCTGAACTCAAAATAATATTTAATGTGATGCTCCTCGGCCTCAGAGTGCAAGTCTGTTTCTGCTTGTCTGTGGTTTGGATACACGATGCCACTCATTTGCTTCTGCGCTGCCTTTCCGACTGTTTTCCATTCGACACAGCTGTTCAAATCTCTGGCACCGTGGTACTGCATGCCCTGTAAGGCGCAAAGAACCCAAGGGTGTCAGGATTCTATCCGTTGCTGTCATGCAGGTGTTGGATTATGACGCTTGCCAGGACGGGGTGTTTGGTAATGCCCTTGGCGCTGGTATGGATGCTGCACGTGTCACTTTTCAAGGTGATGAAGAGGATTGTGCTGGGGAATTTGCTGATGATGCTCATGATGGTGCTCCGGTTCGACGATTGGTGGTTGTTGACGGGGTTCATGCTACGGCTGCTCCCAGTACCTTTAGGATCCTCACTATGAGCAAGAGGCCGATAAATTTGCAAGAAGGGGTGCTTTGGATTCTCGTGGGGACTGCAAAGTTTAAACCATGCGAGCACTCGAGGGTTCAGGCACACCCTGACAGCATGATTCACAGTTCTAAGACCCGGCTCATGGCGATGACCATATCGATGGCGACATCGATGACTCGTCGATGATCGTGGTGATGGTGGTAATTGGGCGGCCAGTGGTGATGATGGCGGCGAGTCTGTTGGTTGTATGGGTACGCTGGTGTGCCACTTCGATATGTCCATGCCTGGAGGTGAAGATGGACTTCTGCCGTGCGCCAGAGCCGCAGAATGGCAGGTCGTGTGGCTTCGGGGCTGAGAGTACGGCTCACTGGGGCTTCGGGGTCGCAGTCGCTGTCGGGGTATAGCGTCTTAGATTGTTTCTAGATTGGAGCTTAAGATTTCCGTGATCGGATGCCTGTACAAAACAGCCTGTGGCAGTGATACCTTTCGGCATGCACAGGCAGCGGTCGTGCGGCGAAGATCCCCAGCCCTCGCTCGAAGCTCAAAAACCCAGAAGCCTGAAGCCTCAACAGCTTTACCACGTTTTCCTCTTGGGATCTCCTGTCGTGCATGCTAATGTGCTGTTTGGGTTCCTATGTTATCTTTGACTCTGACTGCTATGTAGCACGGCACCACCCAGAACTCACCTCTCTTCCTCTGCACGCAACCAACCCCAAATCCAGACGTGTTTGTTATTGCGAGAGTCCGACCCCTACATCTCTGAATCCAAAAGCCCAAAGGACTGGGAAGGCTTTGCCGGAACCTTGCGGTACAACCAGCACGTTCTCGAGCCTCGATGTGTCATACCTATAGAGTTGATTCGAGTTAAATTTGCGGGCTCAATTGCTAAATCAGCAATTCCTCTTTCAATCCAAGGGGCGGCTCCTTTGAACCAGAAACACTACGTGAGGTGAACCGTTGCCGTGCTCAGAGAAATTAATTCTGTAGCAGCAGCGGCAGCAACACACCTCTGCAGCAGTGCCAGCGGCAGCGACAGCACCAGAACCGCCGCAACGACGACTACTCCTGCTCGACTCCAATTCTACCTACTAGTACTACTACTACTACTACTACTACTACTACGACGATGACTACTACTTCCACTGTTGCTACTACTGCTACTAACAACAGCTACAGCGTTACTACTACTACTACTACTACTACTACTACTTCTGCTACTACTACTACCCTACTATTACCCTACTACTCCTCCTACCACCACTAATAAACACATAGTACTACCTACTGCTGCTACTACTACTACTACTACTACTACTGCCACGACCTACTACTACGACCTACTATTGCGACGACCACCTACTACTACTACTACTGCTGCTGCTGCTGCTGCTGCTGCTGCTGCTACTACTCTTACTACGACTGCTGCTACCACCATTCTCACTACCACTACTGCACTTTCTACGACTAGTCTTACTACTGCTGCTGCTGCTGCTACTACTACTACTACTGCTACTGCTACCGCTACTGCTACTGCTACTCCTACTGCTACTGCTGCTGCTGCTGCTACTACTGCTACTACTACTACGACGACGACGACGACGAGTACTAGTAGCAGTAGTACCACTACTACTACTACTACTACTACTACTACTACTGCTACTACTACTACTACTACTGCTACTACTACTACTACTACTGCCTTTTACCTACTACCTTCTACCTTCTACCTACTATCTACTACTTACTAGTACTAGTACTAGTACTACAACAACAACAACTACTACTACTACTACCACTACTGCTGCTGCTGCTGCTGCTGCTGCTACTGCTACTGCTACTGCTACTGCCACTGCTACTAGTACCAGTACTAGTACTAGTACTAGTACTAGTACTAGCTACTACAACTACCGCTGCGGCTGGCACTACTGCCACTGCTACTGCTGCTGCTACTGCTACTCCTCCTGCCACTACCACTATCACTACCACTACCACTAGGAGGCAAGCTCTTGGGCGAGCATCGGTAATTGGTAGTATGGTTCTGGCACAAACATTTCTGTATGTACAGCGCAACACGATCCACAAGCACCCTTCCAGCTATTCTGCATACACTCGTACGTTTGCTCTTTTCATGTGTCATCTTGCATGAGTATGATAGGTTCGTCTTCCGGAAGCACTAAAACCACTTCAAGAGCAGAGAGCCGCTCGGGGTTGCCAGTGCTGAAGCCTAGCAAAAAACGAGCTAAGGGCTGAACCCTTTGCTGCATCCCTTGCCTAATACACCCCTTTTCAGCCCTGAGCTTCAATCAAACGTTCATCATCAAGCCCGGAAAGTTCATCTCGAAACGCAGTGTCTGCGGTCAGATGGCATGGCTGGTTCTCAACTGCCGGTTCTTGCCGAGAGGATGCTAGCAGTGCACCGCCCCAGTTCCCTTTTGTATAACAGCTTCTCAGGCAGCGGCCGTAAAATATGGCTGTGCCTACGTTTGTTCCGAGCGGCCGAGCTGGAGAACTGCCTCGCACAACACGGGCGCGGTGGACGACTGGCAGCTCGCCTTCAGTGTCATCGAGTCCTTGCAAAGATGTGATTGGTGGCTAAATATTTTACATTCTCGCGGCATTCAGAACCCTTGTATGCTCACTAGTCTTGTCTTCGCAGAGCTGGAGAGCATTGACCAACCGCGAAGGGAGAACATAAGGAGACAAGGGCAGACAAGAGTTAAACTCCGCAGCATTGGCCACCCTCACAGGTCCCAAACGAGGGGAGACAACGGGAGACAAGCGTCGAGACCCTGAGCGTTGACCACCCAAAGTACGAAACGCCGGGAACCAGAAGAGTACATTGCTTCGGGAAAAACCCTTAAGGAGGCCTTGCCCTGAAGCCTTCCTTGGATGACGTCCTGGCCGTCTTTCGTTCTTCGTAGCACGACCCGACAACAGTAAACCCTACCCTGCCAGCAACTGACGGCTGCCAAGTAAAGACATGGTCTGTGTTTTCGCTGAGTTGGGGTTAAGGGTTTTTATGCGGCTATTCACCGGAGCCCTATGTTGCGCAAAATCTCCTCCTCTGCAGGTTTGGCTGCCTGAAAGGCCGTGCAGGGGACTGGGTTTCTCGGTTTCAGTGTCGGGCGCTTGGATGTTTACGGTTCAGGGCTCCCAAAGAGCGCTGGTAGCTTAAACACTTCTAGATTCAATTCTGAAGGACAAAGAATTCGCGTTCCATTCGGTCCAGGCAAGGGATGGAGCATTCGGTACGACGGAGCGCCCGTCATGGTCGTCGTGTTTTTTGTTTTATCAGGTTGGTGTGTTTTCCATAATGTCTCCTCACATATGACATGGTACCAACTATGTTTTTGCCACAGGTATCCACAGTGTGCCCCTCAACTTGGGAGGACAAGGGACGATAGTAAACCCGGAGACGCCGAATCAAATCCGTCCATTGCAGAGAGCCGCCAAATCGCGACAAGCTGCTCAGCTGGGCAGTTGCAGGACCAGCCGAACATCAAGCTTATCCGAAACCATATACCCAAATCCTCACTTACAATACGGGTCGTCCGCCTTTTGGGCAAAACCATAGCCTGAAAATCCTAAATCCAAATCCAAAAGATCCGAATGATCCTACAACCTACAGCCCTACAGTCCTTTCCCCGCCTTAAACCCCAAACCCCAGGCGGCGTAGCTGTCGGAGACCTGGCTGTCTCACCCAAAGCGGTGAAAGAGCTTCCCGTGAGGGTGGCAAGGCGTCGGGAATGTTTGGGGATTCAAAACTTGGGGCTTTTTGGATTGTGGGTTGAGGGCTTTTAGGGTCTGTTTTCGTGTTTTGTTCGCGGCTTGGGGCTTGAGGGTCTTTAGGGCTTGAGCACAGAGTTGAGTGTCGGATTAAGGATTCGGGCTTCCAGGGCTTGAGATTTATCGTTGAGTCTGTGAGGTCTCGGGTTGCGGTTGCTTTAGGCTGCTTTCGTTCTGATTTCTAAGATTATAGCTTCATGAGCTCGCACTTTTTGTTCCGACATTTGTGCCTGTTGTGCCCATCCATTGTTACAGAGACCAGGGTAGATGCAACCCGTACTACAATTTTCTATGCAGTGCTGGGGCACTTGGCTGATGTTTCTGAGTTCCATGAGTGCATTGCTGAATGAGGTCGCGGAGCAGATCCTTTCGCTGGGATCCTGGGATAGGGTGGGGCCCGGGTGGCGATGTCTCCTGGACTTCTTTCCCCTGTTGTGTCCGATGTCTTGGTGGGGACTTGCGGCTTGCGCTTTTCCTTGAACGTTTTGGAATGGGTCGAGCTGCCTGATGGAGATGAACTTCTTCTCTGGCAACTGCAACCCATATATGTTATTGAATTTGTTTCAGGCCTTCCCTCCTCACACGTCTAGGCGATGAAACTCTGTCCTCGGTCCCAGGCCTAAAGCACCACAGAACCCGAAGCTTTCCAGAACGCCCTTTCTAGCCTGAGCCCATGCCCATGCCATCCCATGCCCTGGTAGGAAAGCAAAACATCCACATAACCCGCGTAGCCTTAGACTGATCCGTAGGTTTCAAATCAACGACGCCTTCCGAACCAGCCCCGCGGCCGGACAAGCAACCTTTCTCGAGTTTGGGGGTCGGGTCTGCAGTCTGCGCCGTGAGGTCCAGAGATTTTGGACGACGCTGCTGTTTAGGATTTGGCTGTTGAGGCCGAAATCCCAAGACCTCCAACGACGAGCTTGGCACAGCCCGGTTTGCATACCTTAATTTCACGCCCCTATCCGCCCAGAACCTCGCCTGGCATGCCCGAGTGCGGAAAGGCATCTAGCTTAAACTAAGTTTGGGTTCTTTTGGGGTCCTGGCCCCCGCCTTTGCCCAGATAGTCCCAAGTGCAGCGCTCCAAGCGAGCACGAGGCTCATAGGCCCACGCAACGATGTCATGGTAGCCTCAGTAGACGCAGTAGCCGTGGTGGTCCAGACATAAGTTACAGTAAGACGTGGCGAAGTCCTCATGTTCACGCTCACATGTTGGCACGCTAGTAAACCCTGTCAGGAAAGAAGCGCACGGCGGGTATCGACGAGCCGATGCTTGGCATCCACTCAAAGAGTGCTTGGAGGGGTTCAGGATCAAGAGGCGCAGGCAATCGTAAGCTACAGCTGCTACTTCTACTCCTTGCCGAAGCTGAGAAGCTTCGCCTGGAAGTTCGCAGAATGAGAGTGTAAACCTGAACCCGCCCCGAAGCACTAGGCTACAAGCGCTCACCCTGAGATCCTAAGGCAAACCCTCTAAGAAAAGATCCTGAAGCCCTGCTTTACACCTTTTCACTCCTGAATGCCTTTATGCGCAAGGTCCTCACCTCGAAATTTGAAATGACAATACTTCCGCACTGGTAATATTACCGATGTTAGCAACTCATCAACAAGGAGTCCGAGCCCTAGGATGCTTACCGGTGCCGCCATCTCGGTTCGCCCGGAGCCCAACGAGCACGCCGTGTATTCTCTGAAGTGCCTGGACATTCTGACAAAGCCTTCATGTTCGAGGTTCGGGCTGAACTTCTGGATTCGGACTTTTTCTCGTAACTGAGGCCCAGCAGGCGTGCCAGTTGTTTTCCTCGAAAGTCTGGGCAGGCGCAAGCTCAACTGTACTCCCCCCTTTCCTCCTTCCAATTTTTGGTACTACTACTACTACTACTAC